CACTTGTTATGCCAAAAATGTCATACTTGTTTTTTGGTTTTCTTTCCAGCAAGTGTGCATGTGTTTTACTGTGTGGTCTTTGTGAATGAGACTGCTTAATCTGCTTTTCAAAGACAGACTCACATATTGCTTATCCTTCCTCCAGACAGTGGCAGTTTCAAACCACCGAAACCCCAGTTCCGTCTAATGTGTTGTTGCTTGTTTTAAAGAACAATTAAAAATGAAAAGCTTGAATTTAATGTAGCTTTTCCTTTGTCGGGTGCTGAAAAGATGTGAATGAAAGAGTAAACATCTTGAAACATTCGTGTTATATTTCTCACGACGAAAATGTCTTGTGCATGCCATTTACAGCACCTCTTCCTAAACATCAGTTATTCCTGAAATGTGCTGGAAATGTCTTAACCACTCAACAATAAACAACTCCTCAATAATAAAAGCATATAATGTTCATGCGGGATTATTCAAATCCATCTTTACAAGCTGAAAATATCACTTAAGCCAAAAGTGATACTTTCATCCTTTTTCAAAATAATTTTTAAAGTCAATTATCTGCCGTTTCTCTTTTCACTTCTTGTTACTCATTATGCTAATCTGATCACATGACTCCTGCTAGCATGCTTATTAGTGATTTATATATATTTGTTTAAGCATAAGCAGCTCTGTAGTCAGCCACTCTTTCTCCTTGTTTTTACACACTGACTCACTCTGAATCTGTGAGTGTGTGTCCATATGTGTAAAGGCGAAGTGGTTTGGTGAGAACACTTCCTCCTTTCTTTAACATCTAGGCACAGTGTGTATAAATTGTACATTTTAAGTTATTTTTTTTAAGTTATTTAATCCATTTGCTTGCCATGTTTTATGTGTGGTTTCTGTAAGATTATTTACAAGGTGAATTTTTGTCCTTCTGTTTTCCAAATTTTCAGTGAAATGTGTCAAAATAATCTCCCTATATCACAACAAAATGTTGTTTCTACTGTGTTATCTATGTGTTGAAGCTAGGATAAATTGTGACATAACTAATCATGAATCACTAACTCAACCTTTTCTGAAGATAACAAACCTCTACAGACATCTTTCTTTTTTGATCCGTCTCACAGACACTCTTATGCACACATGTAAGACCAACACAAGACCTCCCCGTGACCATCCTCTTGTTCTTTCCTGGTGACTCGACACCGAAATCCTCTGTCCCAAACAGCTAGATGCTTGTTGGAAGTATGTGTAATTAAAAATCAGGACATCTAAGCATGTGCAACAGCTTCATCGCTTTTCTTTCATTTATGCTGTGGTGTTCTTTTTCCACTGTTTTGGGCTTTTACAGTGGTAGAGCCCTGGTAGTGGATAACTCCTCTCTATTCCATGTGACTGAGGTGGTCACTTAATTTTCTGATAAATTGATTCTTCACTATTACTAGCATAATCTTACTTTCTTGTGCACACAACTTTTTTTTTTTTCTTTTTTTATGCATGTTTTCTCAGGCAGAAAGACAGAGCAATAGCAGTTCTGTCTATGACAATGCAAAAACAAACATCTGTTGATGTCGAGTGACTGCAACACTTACTAAAGCCTATGTTGGATCAAATGTTGGCTGTGAGCTTGTGTTTGTAGTAGTGTGAGGGTGGGTTCACTAGAGGACAATAGCTCCACAGTGATCTCTTAATTTATGGTCTTATGCCAGGCCAGGTACTGTATTTTAAGGCATACTATCTATCTATCTATCTATCTATCTATCTAAAGTTTTTCGAAATTAAAAAGAAAAATGTTTGACACTTTTCCTTATAAAATATCTGTATGTGCAGTAAAAAGGTGACTTTAGAAATGTTGTGTAAATATACGTATATTATGAATGTTTATACGTGTGTCTGTAAAATCAGAGGGTAACTTTATATCATATTTAGTCATATTTGAAATCAGTCTGATATATTTGAAGCAGCCTATTCTGTTGTTCATTACTTTAATGAAATGATGCAAATAAAGGTTATTTGCGTAACAAAATAGAAATGTATTTCAATTTTGATCACATAAGTTCAGTTAACTGATTATTGACACAGAGCAGCAGCTGAGGTAAATAAACGATATGTTATTTATTTGTAATATAAAGTATTCACACCCTGAGGTCTGGAATTTAACACAGTAGAAAATGTCTCGGTGGCTGCAATAATCCCCGTCGTCTGTTGATAACAGATGGTAGATGTCATCAGGAGGCGACTGTCTGCCGCTTGACATGATCATCACGCCTGCCATAGAGACACAGCACCAGATACATAAACTTTGTCCACTTTCTAAAGAACAAGAAATCAAGATTCTACCGTTATTTTTATTCTGTCCCCATCTATAAAAACTGTGAATGCCCCACCGTATTTTGCATTCCACTCTTATCCTGCAAAAAGCGCTCGAGCGCAAATGAATGTGGATAAACGGGGCTTAAAACAGTCGTGCGTCTACCTCCAAAAGGCAGAGTGTAAATCAGCCTAATAGAAAAGCAGCATCAAATTCCTCAAGAGGAAAGAGTGAAGAGAAACATCTTTAATTTATAGCTCAACAGTTAGGAGGATGCAGAGAGAACGCGCTTTTCCCTGTGACATGAAGTTTAACATTTTATAAGGTCCTTCTTCACATTCGCCACTGTTTCGGCTTGATCCTATTGAAAGTGTGATCCATCTGTTTGTAATTCTCCACGCAGAGCGTGCAGCGGCTACATGTTGAACTCTGCTACAAAAGGGGACTCTTTTAAAAGAGATCAAACATAAAACGGTGATATGTGGCGCCCACAAATGCGAAGGCGAAAAAAAAATCATCCATACTGCTTATGCTATTCAATTATGCGGTCAAACGCCCTCTGTTTCTGTGGAATGATCAATTATCGGTTGTCAGTGATAATGGTGAATGATGACCCCACGCACTCCCGCTGCTATATGCTTCTTATCGATTAGCGCGTGCCTCCCCAAGTGAGCGCGAGCATCTGCGTTCTAGAAAGAGCCCTGACTTGTTCTTTGCTCAATATAAGAAAAATGCTATCTTAAAGATTTAGATATTTCATATTCAGATGGTCCTAATAAATGTTCGCATGTCTAAGGAAGATGTCTAACTTTAAAATGGCACTCGTGCTCATCTGCAACGCGGTGTCACCCAAATAATATTTCCAAACATTTGTCAGCCCTGCCAATTAATTGCCGCCGCATAATAGTGGGAGGGAGGGAGTGTTTGAGCGCTTTCACTTAACCCCTACCCCCATTCTTGTGGTGCACCCCTGACTTCTCTCGAGTCAGAGCCCAAATTTCTCGCCGTTAGTGTCATTCACGGGGTGATTGTCCGAGCGCGCGCGGGGAATCTCATTTATAGCGTCTTGCGCTCGGCTGAGCTGCAAATCAACCTGTTTACAGCCCAACACCAACACTCGCATCAATTAACCGAGCATCGATCCTCTCACAATATTCCCCCCTTCTCACGGTCCATATCCCTGCATTCATGGCACGATATGATTTTCAGGTGTTGTTGCCTTGTCTGGACTTTTCATAATTTATTATATGAGTTGTTAGAAGATGTAGTAAAAAAAGAAAGAAAGAAAGAAAGAAAGAAAGAAAGAAAGAAAGAAAGGAAAATAATTAGAGGAAGGTCGTGTTATGAAAAATGTTTTCCAAAAAAAAATGCATGCACTTAATGTGTACAGGTGGGAATACGTTATAGGCCATACGTTTAATAAAGAAATAAAACAATCTAAATAACTTTAAAACACAGACATAATCTGATATGCTTTAAACGTAAGTAGTATATTGATTTCTCCTTCGTATATAATTTTTTTTCTCAACCAAAAGTACACGTCCGTTTACTCCTCTCTTCTTTCCCTCTCTTCTTTCATTAATAAGTAAATAACAGTCGCCTTAAGTATAGATAGCTGACGCTATAGGACCTGATCCATCTCGCCGGCAGCAGTTCGTTAAAAATTCAGTGAGAAATAATGGCATCCGAGACATCACCTATAGTAACGTTATTATCTTCATTTCTCAAAATCAGCTAGACTGATAGCTTCGTTTGTCTTTTCCAGGGCATAAATCTTCAGCTTTTGCTGGTCGCTGCAGTGCAATCAGAGGGGGAATCTCTCTCTTTTTTAAAACACCGCCTATTCATAAATATAATAACTCATATTATTATTATTATTATTATTGTTGTTGTTGTTGTTGTTGAAATATACTCGTTTCAAATGAGACAGGATTTTGAATAACAAAACGTAAAGTAATACGGACAGATAACTACGTTTGGAATGATAAAAAAATGTCAATTTTGTTTTCACGCATGTGAAATTATTAAAACATTTGTTTTTGCATGTGTAGGCTATTGGAAATTTTAAATATGTAATTATCACTTTTAAAAAATAAATATGCAAATGATTCAGCAGATAATTTGCCTATTATCAGCTTCAAAAAAAGTTTAAGCAAATTAATACGTTTCTCGTATTGTTTTCTCTTATTTCATGTCAATTATTTTATTTTATTTTTGTCATGTTTAATCCAAATTAACTTTTGATTATTGCACATTAAAAAAAAAATGAGTAAGTGTCAATACATAACACATTTCCTCGTCAAAAGAGCAAACTGTTTAAAGAGAGTTCGTTTTTTATCCAGCTTAAATCGATTCTTGAATATATATATGTTTCCAAAGACTGTCTTGATGATCTCCAGACTTTTCACTTTTGTGCGACTCCTAACGTTTTAGCACTAAAGAGTTATTGGATGAGAACTATCTTCTCAGCCACCGCCTCGAAAGATAAAAAACTAAATTTGTTTTGCGAAATTAATTTCAAACAGGCTAGATGGGATGCATTCGCACGGTCGAGGCAGTTTGATGTGAAGCACGAGCGCTTCCTCTGTCTCACTCGCGCGGTGAGAGAGTGAGTGAGAGTGGGAAGGAGAGGTGGGTGAGCGACTGAGAGGGACACAGAGCGCGAGTTATGATAGAACAGAGCAGTGACCAATAGAATAACAGAGGGGTGGGGCTGAGGATTTCTCACCGTTCTGCATGGGCCCTTAAAGTTTGTTTGTTCGCTGAATGCGGCGTGTGATGAAAACGTGTTGATCCCGTTTGGCAATAATCAGATGAATCTGATTTGGGACATTTGATACATTCTTTGGACTTTCGAGACACCGATAGTTGCCATTACGCACGAAACTCCGTTGACCGACCTACTTTGAACACCGTTGCCTTGAGGAAAGAACGACTTGCTTAGAAACGGTGCGCTTGCAATCATCCAGGGGCTGAATTACAACAACTTTAATGCCAATCACAAACGAGGATACGCGATACGCTCGGAAACGTCAAGCTACGGAAAAGGCTTTGGGAGACCTTTGGCGGAGAGTTTGGCTATCCGGACACTTTTTGGTGAATTGCAACTTTTGAGCACCAGTTTGATGCCCAGAAAGATCAAAAGGTACGGTTGGTCTTTCGAAAGAGAAATTTACATTCCTGTAGTGGCCAAGTTAAGCTCTAACGTAGCCACCAGATGGTTGCTAAGAAGGGTTAAACTGTATCTAAAGGGAGTTGGAAAATCCAGCCTTTCTTCCACACGGATCAACTCATTGGGTGGGAGCAGCAAGAGAGACAAGAGTCCCCAGCAAATCAGCGGCTAATTGATTAAAGAGACTTCATTTGAATAGGGGGCTGGCAAGGTGCCAAACGCCTTTCAGAGGTCCCCATCCACCCCCTCCCATGATTAATCGCGAGGCATTATTGATAATCATAACAGGACACATGCGCGGTGGATGGGCTCGATTTTCGTAATTTTGAGCAGATTTGATAGTAATTTTTTATTCTTTCGTGGCTGATGCGTGAGCCAGCATGTCGCGGAGGAAACAAGCTAAACCGCAGCATTTCCAGTCCGACGCGCAGCTGGTCCTAACCGAGCACAATGGTGAGTTCAAGCCCTTATTACACACATAAACTCGCGCTGCACTTTTTACCAGAAGGGATTTCTAACTTTATTTTGTATTATTTTTGTTGTAACCTATTTAGAGTGACTCTCCCACGTTTTTAATCTCAGACAAGGAATTGATACTCGTAATCTCCCTTTATATTTGTGCTACTGAAAGGACTCGCTGTAAGAGCTCTATCATAGCCTACAGTTGAAAAGTTTTAGACTACTCGAAACTATCACTTTGCACTAAAACAAAAACACGTTTCATTTAGGTCTGCGTGATTCTTTTAATAATCCCTTTCTATCATTCGTAAAGTTTTTTTTTTTTGTTTTTTTTTTAAGTTGGTGTCAAGTTAATTTATGAAAGAAAGTAGACTATAATATAGCCTAGGTGAAGTTCGCGTTTTATTTTATTTATTAAAGATTTTACAAAATTCAACAGTATTCATTGGTGAAAGTTAAAGCTCATAGAATTAGTTTTGTTCTGGCCCGTTTAAGTTGCCCACACAAGTGGGGATTCGCATGGTTTCAGTTTTTCTTCCTCCTCCCCTCTTCTGTAGGATATTGCATATCTAGACTTCAGCAAGCGCCAAAACCCAGACTGAAACAACATGAAACGTATTAATTAAACGATTCTTTTTCTTCGATTCTTTGTATATAGTTTTACACCATGCTATCTCAGTGACCAGCTGTGCCTATCACATTCCGTTATCGAAAATTAGGCTATGTCATGCGACCTTAAAGGTGGCGGAGACGTCGGCGAAACTTATTTTCTTAAAAATATCCTCACCCAGTATTTCCATTTTGTATGAAACTTTGTCATATGTGATGAGTAAGCACATTCAAACTGAATTAGCATGTAGTCACGGGCGATCGGACAACCAAATCACATAATCTCATGTAATCGAGTTTTTCCATTATGACTATAGGCTACTCTTATATAATTTAAACTATTTTCACGTCATATTATTTTTTGCTGTACCTTCTTATACATTAGAGGGCTATTGAAAACTTACACCAATATGTAATCTCGTTCGTTTGCTTTTAATTGAGTTTTAAAATAAGTTGTATGATCAAGAGCTAACTTGCTATAGTAGCCCGCATGTAGCTCCGACACACACTGTCCCACGCTGTGACCAAACTCATCTTTCATACAGTGCCTTGTCAGCTTTTAAAACGTAGCCTACATTTACTTCACATATTACGCGTTTGTCGAACTACAAATAAGAGTGAAAAATATTATTTTCTTTGGACATTTAAAATAACGATATAACAAGCCTATAATTATATTAATTATTTTTTTCAATAATATTCTCTCGTACTAAATGTAGTCTTTTATAATTTCATAGTTTTCAGTGTTTGAACATTTCTGTTTCTGAAGTCAGGCAGGCAGTGAGTAAAGGTTTTGCAACAGTCATTGACTACAAATTTTAAGCCTGTGCTTGTTTTACTACTTTCAAACTGCATTTATCAAAGGCCGTCTCACGTCCCATCGAGCTATAAAAAGAATTTAAAGGGCATACTGAACATTCTTATCAGTAAAGTGTCTTACTTTAACCATTTTAAAACGGGGTGTTTTGGGGGAACTGTCCTATCTCTTGCTTTAACTTGTTTTGTAGGCTATCATGTTTCTTAGAATGGGACCCTTGAAGAGGTAAGGATTTTGTACCATATCGAAACTAGATCCAAATAATTTTCTTCAATTTATTTTTATTCAGCTTTTAGTTAAATCCATTTTCAATATTCCGTTGTGGAACATGTGACGAATTAACTGAAGTGACCTACTTATACCGTTAATGCACAAGGGAAAGTTATAGGCGATAGAAATATAGCACACCGTTATTTTAATGACCGTTCTACGGCAATCTTTTGGTAAAATAGCCTACATAAAGAAACATTAATTACTGGCATAACACGACTCTTAGCTCTCTAATATTGCAGTAAACAGCAACGTTATTTTACGCTCCTCCTCTTCACTTTAAATCCATTTGATTTCTGAGGTTATAAATAAAATAAAACTAAACTGCTTTTCATTACAGATCATGGGCCGCTGTAGACACCAGTTGCTTTTAGATGCAACAACTTTAATTTCAAAGGCGTTCCTTAAACTTACAATATGTTCATGTTTGCTTAAGAAAAATATATATCAGTGATAATCGTTAATTAAAGCGTAAGATTATTTTTTTCTTGTTGAATGTTTAAAAAAAAAAGATTTTCGTGGTTCTGTGTGTTGAGATGCAAAATAAGCACATCCCCTTATTTTAAAAGATATCCCTTTTAATTTGCAGAGAACGTAGATGTACAGAAATCAGCTAGGTGTTATTAAAAATTAATACGAGAACAGGCCCAGATTTACATAAGCAGTTGTTTGGCGACTTACATGTGAAGGGCATTCATAGGTGAATTATATGTGATTACTGCTAGAATTTCAGAAAAGGAAAAGAAAACAGATTTTCTAAATCATGGCATTGCTGCATTTTCCCTTTTAAATGTAATAAAGAAGTGAATGGCAGTGTTTGTCAACTGCTGTCAGCTGACCAAGTTCACATTTTCGCCAAATACAGCTCATTCAAAGCAAGAGGCAAAGGCATAACCTGTACGTCAGAGTTCAGAAATGTATTGCTGTCTTCATGACTTAAGCATTGCTTGGTAACTTTTTTTCCTTAACATTTGGCGTAAACCAGGTCTTAATAAGTACAGATAAACTTCATTGGTGCTAGACTGAGATGAGGAGTCTGTCCCTGTTGGCCTGTCACTGAGGGTGGGATGTAGAGCTTTTTTAACCTTTGCCAGGATCCCTCTGTGGGGAGGCGAGGAGAGATCAGGTCACGGTGTGTTCATGTGTACCATGTCTCTGACCTCCATCCACCATGCTGTGCTATAGCTAGCCAAACAGGGACTCTTACTTTTTTCTGGGATGGTGTGTGTGTGTGTGTGTGGAGGTGGGGGGTGATGTGGATTGAGATCAATGTGGCTTGCTTTCCCCTTTCACCTCAGCAAATTTGCCACACACCCACCCAGAGAGATTGTCAGGGAGATCCCCCCTCCAAAACACACACACACAAGCATCGCAAACAACAGGGATTTTGTATCTTGTCATTTTTTTGGAAGTTTTGGAAGTAGATTCGATGTATTTTATTTTTTATTTTCTCTCTAGTCCCCTATCGCACTCATCCTTTTAAGAGCATGTCATAAGAATTGAGGATGAGGGCTCGGTGACCAGCAGAGAAGCCTTTCCCAGCCACACCATCTAGTGTTCAGTAGGAAGCTTTCTATGGCTTGAGAGAGAAAGTGAGGGAGGGACGCTAAGGGAAAGCAGGAAAGTTGAGGGCGGGTAGTAGATAGTAAGGGACACACAAGGAGATTCTGGGTAAACGGTAACTCACTCTTCGAAGTCACAACTAGCAAGGCGCCTGCAGCTGAGAAAAGTAACGTAGACATTACAAATTATTCTCATGTATGTTTATCCTCTCTTTTTTTCTAGTCATTCTTTTTTTTCTTTTTTTACTTACCACATCACCAATTCTCTCTCCTTTCTCTGTCTTGATTTGCTTGGGATGAGATCTTTGACCTGCTCTGTAGCATGCTGATGATGACCCAAAGCCATCACACTGTAAAGAACTGTTCTCATCAAAACTAGCTCTGCCTCACTAATCAACAGCACAGCACACAGCCATGCACAGTGTACAATAGCTTTCACAAACTAGTGTCGTTTCTTGCTTTCCATGTACTTTAGAGTGACTACGTATAGACACACATCTGGCTTTGTAAGCTGCCCATTGCACATTGACGTTTGAGTATAATTAAACTTTTCAGTATTAAGGCTTTTTCGTTTGAGAAATGTGTTTTAAAATTAATTTCAATTGTCTTATCTTTTTTTTTTTTTTTACTGAAATAATTATTTAAAATGTTAATTTATTTGTTCAAATGCTATTCTGTTTATTTTTTGGAATGCACATGTCATTTTATTTATTTTTTTACCAGATTTGAACCAGTGTTTACATGAAGAACAAAGCGCATGCTTTATTTTAAGGTCAGAGGATGTGTCAAAATGTCTATTTGGACAGATATGTCAAGAAGTTATTTAATCATTCACATGTCATGTGATGATCGTCAAATCATTGTTTGGAAATTGATAGTTCAAATGTCAACATTTTAGAATATGTATTTTCTAAGAAAACAAGTCTTTTAAATCTCAAAATATTATAATGAAATTAATCATTCTAAATTATTTATTTTGTTACATTTGAATAGTCCACGGTGATGTAACTTTTATGCATTTTTAAGGATACAATATCAACTACTGTGCATAGCAATTTATGTCCCCCCCCCCCCCAAAAAAAA